TACGCCGTCGCCAGCGACTCACGGCAGCCCAGCTCCAGGTTGAGCTGTTGTTCAGCATCTTAGCTGTGGAGGGCAGTGTCACTGGCCCTCGTATGAGGGATCTGAACCGCGGCCCTCTGGCGTCCCAAGCCAGCTCTTAACCACCGCGCCACTCGGCTGGCCCTTGTGTCTATATTTTTAAATGCCCCATCCTCAGTGTGTTAATTAGAAGCCTACCTTGCCTATATCATGTTACTCTTCCAACCTTAACTTTTCTTATCTGAAAAATGAGCACATTGGAAAAATCATCTCTGAAGTAACTTTCTACTCTAAATTTTTATGATTGACTACATACAGTTTATTTTTATTATTTGCAGATTTGCAGTTCACCTACTCACTAAAATTTGTGACCTCAAAATTAATACTTGCAGTGCTTTTGCCGTCATTCATGGACATGAGGAAATTGGCAAAAAATTGGCGTCATTTGATGTACACATTCCTAGCTGAGGTTGAGCAAGGCAGTGCTCTGCTTTCTTGTTCCAACTCTCATGCTGTAAACAAGTGTCCTTTTTAAGGTGCTATGTTTTTCACATTTTTGTGCTTTTTTGTTGGAGATTTTGCTGTGTAAATGGCCTCCAAGTGTAGTACTAAAGTGCTACTTAGTCTTCCTAAGTACAAGAAAGCTGTGATGTGCCTTTCGGAGAAAATACGTGTGTTCAATAAACTTCATTCAGGCATGAGTTATATAGTGCTGTTGGCTGTGAGTTCAATGTTAGTGAATCAACAATACATATTAAATAATGTGTCTTTAAACAGAAACACACAGAAAACAAGGTTATGTATTCATTGGTTGACAAAAGTATTATGATCAGAGGCTGGTAGGAACCTAATGCTATACTTCCCCTAGGAACAATGCTTCAGTATTCACTAACTTAATGTTCCTAATTTGGAAGAACTTAACTACTGTGAATAACAAGAATGAACTGAATATTTTTTCTTTTATCCTGTCCTTGTGCTCCTTGGAATAATAAGTTCATGTTCTTTTTTACCTGGAAACCTACTGTTGTGTACATTGACAGCACAGTAAATACCTGTTCAATGAATAAATGAATCTTTGTGTGTCTCACATAATAGATGACCAAAACACTTTTGTTGGATAAATTAGTGTTGATTAATTTATACCTGAGGACAAAAGATACTATGCTAGAATGCTACTTTCATTTTAGAATTTTATTTGGTCATATTTGAGAAATGAATTTAGCATTTTGGACATATACACAGGTACAAATGTATTGATGAATGGCTTTTTTCCCCCCTCCTCTATTGTTTCAGAATATTGTTCTGATTTGTTGAAACCAAAGCTGTCATTTGAAGGTACCCTAGATTTGAAATCCTTATGCTTACAAAAAGTCATGGAAGTATTTTTGAAACAATAGCATTAGAAATATCTGTAAAATATCTGCAAAATTCTCTGTAACTATGTTTGCCTGTAAAATTTCATTGGCTATTTTGTAGCAATTGCTCTTCAGAAATTTTTCAGACAGTATTAAATGTCATTTGTTTTTCTTATTTAAAGCCCACTTTTCATTTATGAGTATGTCCTATGTTATACATCCTATAATGCTTTTTTTTTTAAAGATTTTATTGGGGAATTGGGAGAGGGGAACAGCGTTGGGGAATTGGGGAAGGGGACCAGCCAAGTTGTTGTTCTTCAGTCTTTGTTGTGGAGGGCGCCATTCGCCACCTGGCTACCTGTTGGCAGCTCGTGGCCTATAAGCTTACGGTGCTGTGTTCAATCTTAGTTGCTGGTGGATGTAGCCACCATCCCACGCAGGAGTTGAACCAGCAGACTTGTTGTTAAGAGCACATGCTCTATCCACTGAGCCATCCAAGCGGCAGCTCAGCTCAAGGTGCCGAGTTCAGTCTTAGTTGCGGGTGGGCAGAGCCCACCATCAAACAGGCAATCTTGTTACACCAGCTGAGCCATCCTGCCACCTATTGGCAGCTCAGCTCGGCCGCAGCGTCACTGGTCCATGTGGGAATTGAACCGGCGGCCCTGTTGCTCAGAGCTTGCGCTCTTAAGCCAACTCTTAACCAACTGAGCCACTCAGCTGGCCCTACATCGTATAATGTTTTGATATATATTTCTGTTCATTGGAAGCTCTAAAAACCAGAAGTTTATGAACCTCACTTAGATGAAATTGGTTTGACTCCTACAGCCCACCACCACTACCACTCAATTATGCGCCTTATATAAGTCACCAGTAAATCTCAGGACAGTTCACTTTCTAATGGTGATCTGTTTCTGGGTGTCTGCTTCCTAGCCTGATGTCTTTGCTTTGACTTAGATGAAAAATTCAACTCTTTTCCCACATAAGGCAGCAGTAGTGGTAAGTTGTGGTACTTTATTAAATTTCAAAACTTCTCTGTGACCCTCTTGTTCCATTTACAGTGTTTCAACAATTCTAAGGTGCACATTTTACACACACACACACACACACACACACACACACACACACACACACACATCTCTCTGAAGTCAGGATGGTCTTTCAGCCAGTGGTATCTGTCTTAAGTTGGTTTCCCTAGGAAATAGATTCTGAGGCAGAAATTCGCATGCATGTATTGGGTTGTCGGAAAAGTCATGACACATGTTTGCAACAGATGGCTCTAGTTCATTTTTGGAAGTACTAGATTCATTTGCATCTGTGTTATTGCTATGTCATTGGACAGCTGACAGTGCTAGGTTCATTCTAAAAAAAATTGAGCAATTTGGTTGAGTTTTGGAGATTTTACAAGTTGAAGATGGAAGACCAAACTGTGCATTTTTGCCATATTTTACTGTTTTACTTTCATAAAGGGAATAACATGCGTCAAGCTTGTGAAAAGTTGCATAAAGTTTACGGTGACAATGCTCTACAAGAACGTCAGTGCCAACGATGGTTTACGAAATTCCATGCTGGTGATTTTGATCTCAACAACGCTCCTTGGTCAGGGAGGCCCACGAGGTTGATGACGACAAAATAAAGGCATTGATCGAGTCAAACCCACGTTACACGACACAAGAGATTGCAGAAACATTGAACATCCATCACTCAAGCATTCACGACCACCTGAAGAAGCTGGGATACGTAAGCAAACTCGATATTTGGATTCCACATGAACTCAAAGAAGTTCATTTGATGGCGTGTGTAAACATCTGCAACATGCTCATTAAATGTGAGGAAAACGATCCTTTTTTGAAATGACTGATAACTGGTGATGAGAAGTGGATTGTTTACAACAATGTGGTTTGCAAATGGTCTTGATCCCGATGTGATGATTCGCCTCAAACGACATTGAACGCAGATGTTCATCAGAGGAAGGTTGTGCTCTCAGTGTGGTGGGATTTTAAAGGTGTCGTGTTTTTTGAGCTCCTACCAAAGAAACAAACAATCAATTTGAATGTGTACTGTTGGCAATTGGACAGTTTGAATGAATCCATCATCCACAAACATCCAGAGCTTGTTAACTGTAAAGGAGTTGTGTTCCATCGTGACAACGCCTGACCACACATAAGTTTGACCACCCGTCAAAAATTATTGGAGCTTGGATGGGATGTGTTGCCACACCCACCATACTCGCCTGACCTTGCACCATTAGACTTCCACTTGTTTCGCTCTCTTCAAAACTCCTTGTGTGGTATAACATTCAATTCAGATGAGACTGTAAATCAACACCTTTTTCAGTTTTCCACAAATAAAGACAGGTCTTTCTATGAACGAGGAATTATGAAGCTCACTGAAAGATGGCAAAAGGTTATTGAACAAAATGGGCAATATATTATTGATTGATCTTTGTTTTTTAAATAAATAAATGACCTTTGAAAAACATAGGCAAAATACATCATGACTTTTCGGACAATCCAGTATATTGCACAGTTTTTTCAGAAACACCACTTGTAAGATAGTGACAAAAGCAGGACTGGTTTGCAGGAAAAGTTGAATTGTGGTACATTTACAACAGAGGCCTTAGATTTTTCTCAAAATTGTCCCTAATTGAGATACAGGGGCTGTTCCTTTGTGCTTCTGTATTATTAGGTGCCAGTAACCATAGGAGGCACCATAACCTTGAATGAAGAAGCTCTCTTCAGCTGTTGACAATTCCCAGAGAATGACTCAACTGTGAGCTGTCAACATGGAGTACATCTGATACCTGGAGAGATAAGTACCTCCTTTCTGGAGAGGAGGTATCTGGTAGCCAACCACAGCATTCAGTACTTTTGTCACATAGTAGCTTTTTATTTCTTAGTGGCACATAACATAATTGTGGCTCTTAAAATCAATAGCCTCTTAGAGTCAATGAAACATGGTACTTTCAAGAAAGATTTAAAGGTTGTAGTGATAAAATCTACTTAAGAAGTCAGAATTAAAGATCGGTCAGGTTTATCTTAGCCATGTAAAAAGTTGTAAACTTGCTTTCAGTCATTCAATAAAAAATTGTTTTGACTAATTGCCACATATCAGATCCTATTTTAGGAGCAGTGAGTAGTAAAGAGAAAGTCCCTGCTATCATAGATCTTAACATTCCAGTGGAGAAAGACCAAATAAGCAAATAAATATGTTATATGTCAGGTGTTCTGAGACTTTCATAGCTGTGTATAAGTTGATATTCACATTAAGGTTGATATTGTCTTAATATGGCTCTATGACCAAGAGATTGTAAGGACATGCTAACTTTCTTGATCGATGTTTCTTGATTACGGTATTAATTACATCACTAAAGAGTTTTCTGCTTCAGTTGTGGAAATTGATGAGTCTTTTACAGTTGAATGTGTAATATGGTTTTGTTATGTGTAATATGGTTCATAAACTTGGATTTTCTACATGTTATTACATTTTGCAATTTTTCTAATTCCTGTCATAAGGAACATTATTATTAAAAAAATGTTGTTTAATTATACATGGGTATGTGCTCAGTATTGTTCACAGAAAATTAGAGACACAGACTCTTTCCTGGAGTGTTAAACTGATGGAAGGATAACCCTATAAGTAACAGTATTTTAAAATTTCAGTCAAACCCACTGCTTACACACTAATTTTGTGTTGGTGAGATAATTTGGATTCTTCCTGATATGCAGATTTTCTGAAATTAAATAAAAACATAAATATTACATGTTGGATCATGTCAATAGTACAGTCTAATATTACGACTCTGGGAGGTGATAGATTCCATGTGATGTAAACTTCAAAAACATCGGCATACTCTAAAATATCTTGCTCTTCCTTAATAAAGTACATGTACCATAAGCACTAACTGATTTCAGCCTTTTTGACCTTTTCCTAGTTTTATCCATTAGCAGTTCTTAGGATCAAACATTCCAGTAGACATCCAAATGTATAATTCACTTATAGACTAAATATGAAGGCCAAATTGTCTTATAATTAACAAGTAGCAGAGTGAACAGAGTTACTAATAGGCCCATGGATATTTGTTTTCTCTACTGTTGCCATTAATAATATTTAAAATATATCCTTTATCTTCCTTGCCTTCATTCAGTCGTTCGTTCATTCATTCAGTGAAATAATATATGTAAAGGACATATACATTGCCTTGTACAGAGTTTGCACTCAATAAATGTTAGTATTTTACTTCCCATCCTGTATCCTTCCTTCAGTGAGCACTTATTAAATATTTGGTATGCCTAGGCACTGTTTTATATTTTAAGACATACAAAAAGGAAAAGAGAATCTGCCCTCAAGGATCATGTCATTTAGTTGAGACACATAGGCAGGTAACTGTAGTACAGGCATACCTCAGAGATACTGCCAATTTGGTTCCAGACCACCACAGTTGCGGTGTATATTTATAGCAGCTTTATTCATAACTGCCAAAACTTGGAAGCAACCAAGACATTCTTCAGTAGGTAAATGGATAAATAAACTGTGATACATCTAGACAGTAAAATATCATCTAGCACTAAGTAGAAATGAATCTCAGGCCATGAAAAGACATGGAAGCTTAAGGACATATTAGTAAGTGAAAGAAGCCAATGTGAAAAGGCTACATACTGCATAATTCTAACTATATAAAATTCTGGAAAAGGTATAACTGTGGAGACAGTAAAAAGATCAGTGGTTGCTAGGAGTTAGAGGGGATGGAAGGTTGAGAATGCAGAGCACAGAGGGATTTTAGGGCCATGAAACTATTCTGTATAAAACCATAATGGTGCATACATGTTTAAATCCATAAAATGTACCAAACCCAAATGTAAACTGTCACATTTGTGTGATAACTATGTGTCAATGTGGTTTATCAATTGTTACATATATACCACTCTGATGGGAAATATTGATAAGGGGGAGCCTAGAGTGTATATGGGGACTGTACCTTCCTCTCAATTTTTCTGGAACCTAAAACTGTTAAAAAAATAAAGTCTATTAAAATAATGAATGAATAAATATAGGCATACCTTGTAAATAATGTGGGTTCGGTTCTAGACCATCACAATAAAGTGAGTATCTCAATAAAGCAAGTCACATGAATTTTTTGGTTCCCCAGTACATATAAAACTTGTGCTTATACTATATTGTAGTCTATTAAGTGTGCAGTAGCAGTATGTCTAAAAAACAATGTATATACCTAATTTAAAAATACTTAATTGCTAAACAAGGCTAATCGTCATTTGAGCCTTCAACAAGTTGTAATCTTTTTGCTGGTGGAGGGTCTTGTCTTAATGTTGATGGCTGCTGACTGACTGATCAGGGTGGTAGTTGCTGAAGGTTGGGGTGGCTGTGGCAATTGCATAAATTAAGACAACAGTGAAGTTTGCCACATTGATTGACTCCTCTCTTCATGAGTGATTTCTCTGTAGCATATGATGCTGTTTAATAAACCCACAGTAGAACTTCTTTCAAAATTGAAGTCGTCCTCTCAACCCTGCTGCTGCTGTGTCAATTAAGTTTATGTGATATTCTAAATACTTTGCTGTCATTTTAACAGTCTTCACAGCATCTTCACTAAGAGTAGATTCCATCTCAAAAAACCACTTTCTTTGCTCATCTATAAGAAGCAACTCCTCATTAAAAGTTTTATCTTGAGGGCCGGCCGAGTGGCGCGATGGTTAAGAACTGGTTTGGGACACCAGAGGGCCCCGGTTCGGATCCCACATATGAGGGCCAGTGACACTGCCCTCTACAGCTAAGATGCTGAACAACAGCTCAACCTGGAGCTGGGCTGCCATGAATCGCCGGCGACGGCATAGGCTGCAGCCCCTGTGTCAGTGGGTTGCCATGGGCTACCGTGTGTAGCCAGCAGCCAGCGTGAGCGGCCAGCAGCCGCAGTGAGCGGCCGTCCAGAAACCGGTGACTGATCTGCCTCGCCTGGGAAGAGTGCAATGATGGTGCCAGCTTGGGCCAGTGAAGCAACGTCCTCCACAACTAGACTGAAGAACAAAAGGACAGCAACCTGTCTGTTCCCCTTCCCCCAATTCCCCTGCACTGTTCCCATCCCCCCAATACCCCAATAAAAATCTTTAAAAAAAAAAAAAAGTTTTATCTTGAGATTGCAGCTATTCAGTCACATCTTTAGGCTCCACTTCTAATTCTAATTCTCTTGCTATTTTCACCATATCTGCAGGTACTTCCTCCACTGAAGTCCTGAACCCCTCAAAGTCATCCAGGAAGTTTGGAATCAACTTCCAAACTCCTGTTAACCTTGATATTTTGACCTCATGAATCACAAATGTTCTTAATGGCATCTAGAATGGTGACTCCTTTCCAGAAGGTTTTCAATATACTTTGCCCGGATCCATCAGAGGAATCAGAATCTACTGAAGCTATAGCCCTTACCAAATGTATTTCTTAAGCAATAAGACTTGAAAGGTGAAATTGCTCCTTGACCCATGGGCTGCAGAATGGATGTTGTGTTAGCAGGCATGAAAATAACATTAATTGCATTGTTCATCTCTGTCAGCTCTTGGGTGACCAGGTACATTGTCTATGAGCAGTAATATTTTGAAAGGCATCTTTTTTTCTGAACAATAAGTCCCAATAGTGGGCTTAAAATATTTAGTAAACCATGTTGTAAACAGATGTGCTGTCATCCAGACTTTGTTGTGCCATTTATAGAGCACAGGCAGAGTAGATTTATTGGGTTGTTGGAAAAATCCTGATGCATTTTGCAACGAAAAACATAGAAAAATACGTCATGACTTTTCCGACAACCCAATAGCATAGTTCTAAGGGCCCTAAGATTTTTAGAATGGTAAACGAGCATTGGCTTCAATTTAAAGTCATCAGCTGCATTAGCCTCTAATAAGAGAGTAAGCCTGTCCGTTGAAGCTTTGAAGCCAGACATTGACTTTGAAGCTAACATATTCCAATAGGAAGCTGTTTCATCTGCATTGAAAATCTGTTGTTTAGTGTAGCCACCTTCATTAATTATCTTAGCTAGATCTTCTGGCTAACTTGCTACAGCTTCTTCATCAGCACTTGGCTGCTTCACCTTGCACGTTTATGTTATGGAGACGGTTTCTTGCTTTAAACCTCATGAACCAACCTCTGCTAGCTTCACATTTTTCTTTTGCAGATTCCTCACCTCTCTCAGCCTTTGTAGAATTGAAGAGAGTAAAGGCCATGCTCTGGATTAGGCTTTGGCTTAAGGGAATGTTGTGACCCGTTTGATCTTCTATTCAGATCACTAATACTTTCTCCATATCAGCAATAAGACTGTTGCACCTTCTTATCACTGGAGTAGCACCTTTAATTTGTTTCAAGAACTTTTCCTTTGTGTTTGCGACTTGGCTAACTATTTGGTGCAAGAGGCCTAGCTTTCGACCTCTTGTGGCTTTCCTTACTAAGCTTAATCATTTCTAGCTTTAGATGTAAAGTGATAGATGTGCATCTCTTTCACTTGAACAGTTAGAGGCTATGGTAGGGTTACTAACTGGCCTAATTTCAATATTTTAGTCTCAGGGAATAGGGAGGCCCAAGAAAAGGGAGAGAGCTGGGAGGAATAGCCAGTTTGTGGAGTCAGACACACACATTTATCGATTAAATTTGTCATCTTATGTGGACATGGTTCATGGCACCCCAAAACAATTACAATAGTAGTATCAAAAATCACTGATTACAGATCACCATAACAAATATAATACTAATAATGAAAAAGTTTGAAATATTGCGAAAATTACTAAAATGCGTCAGAGACATGTAGTGAGCAAATGCTGTTGGAAAAATGGAGCAGATAGACTCACTCAACACAGGGTTGCCACTAACCTTCAATTTGTAAAAACCCAATATTGCAAAGTGTAATAAAGTGAAACTCAATAAAATAAGGTGTGCCTGTACTTTCAAGTATTCTAATCTAATATAGTTAAGTGAAAAATACTTTGAGAACAGGAATTGTCCAATATGGGAGGTGGACATAAGTGACATTTGAAATGAGTCTTAAAAGATAATTTGCTAAGTGTGTAAGTCTAGGGAGAACTTTATTATGAAAGGCAACTGTGTGTCTAGAGCATACAGACATGAAGTAATAATTTTTTTTAAAAAAAACATTGCCTGTTATCTTATATGATTAATACCTTGCAGGCTTTAAGGACTAGAAATAATATAATATAATTTCTAGTGAAGGACTAGTCACATGATAATCACTCAGTAAGTGGTTGTTATTGTTGTTATAATGTTTCAAATCTATAATTTGAAAGCCAAGGTTTATTATTCCAAAATAATAAGTATATAACATACTATTGAAGTGAAGTTTATTTTAATTATGACAGATGCCAACATCATTAAAGTACTTATTTATTTCATGAAGAAACTGATGTCACATTAAAAAATAATAATACATCATGACCAAGAGGGGTATATTCTAGAAATACAAGGCATGTCAGTAAAATTCATTCATACAATTAATTAGTGATAAAGACAGAAATCATATAATCATCTGTATAATTGACTATATTTATTTTACACATTCATTTGAAAACCACCCAGTAAAACAGGAATTAATGGATACTTCTTTAACGTGATAAAATATATGTGTGTGTGTGTGTGTGTGTGTGTGTGTGTGTGT